ATCATCATCATCATCATCATCATCATCATCATCATCATCATCATCATCATCATTATAATCATCATCATTATTGTTATTATTAAAAGTTTTTACTTTTTTTAAACGTTTTAAAGTAAAAAGAAAAAGAGAAGCTGCTGCTGCAGCAGCAGAAAATAATTGTTTTAGCCAATGTTGACTGTCGTTTTGTTTTGTTTTGTATTTTTTATTACAATTCTGTTTCCACCTTATAGGTTCAAATGAATGACGTTTATTGTCTTTTTTCTCGTTGAAGATTTTGCCAAAAAGAATTGAATTAAAAGTCATCATGTTGATGATGGTGAAATTTATTTTTTTTTTTGCGAGTAAAATTTCATTAAATTTAATTTAACCCAAGTGTGTACGCCTCGATCATCATCATTATCAAAAACGATATGGCTATTTAGAAGGAGAAACAAGCAAGCAAGCAAGACTTTCTTTCTTTTTGACTTTGGACTGTGGATAATTCTTTGTTTTTTTTGGGGAACGTAAAGGAATAAAAATGAATGAGATTAAAGTGTTAAAGTATCGTTCGTTTTTTATTCAATAAAAAATACATTGGCCACAATGTTACAAAACGAAAAAAATATATACACATTATAAAGCAAGAAATTTCCTGATAAAATTTCCTTTCAATAAATTTTCCGGGAAATTTTTCCTATTTCCAAGAAAGATTCTATTCCGGGGCCATCAAAACAAAACACCAATTTAAAAAAAACTTACCCAAGATGCATAACACGAACATGTTGTTCAATTGTATAACATTGTAAACATTGAAATGTACAACCACGCCATGTACAACGATATAACATTGTTCGTTGTCGACGTTTTTGTTGTTGTTGTTGTTGTTGGCCATTCGATGATCCAGAATCATTCATATTGTTGCTGTTTTTCGTTCCATTTGGAACCTATATTGGAAAAAATGAAACAAAAAGAAAAACAAAATAAAATAAAATTAAATGGAAAAAACAACAAAAAGTAAACAAAAATATATGAAAAGAAATTTGATGACAGAATGTCCATCATAATATCATATCATCATCAATGTAAAGTTATGCAAATTTAGAAAAATTCAAAAAATGAAAGGCATTTATTTATTTATTCATTGAAATAACATTGTTTTCTTCACTGTTGTTGTTGTTGTTGTTTTTCTGTTGAAACAATCTTTTTTATTCAAATGAAATAAATGAATGCACCACTGATTGTTGATTAATAATTTAAATTGAAAAACAAAAACAAAACAAAAAACGATATTCATTTTCATGGAATTAATTTTGTTGTTGTTGTTTTTGAAAACCTTCATTCATTCACCATTTGACCGGTATTTGTGAATGGTCCATTTGGGTGTCTTTTTTTATATATACGTTTAGTGAATTAATAATGATGAACCAACCATTTTTTTCTATTTCAACAGCAACAACAACAACCATATCACACTAATGAAAATGTTTTGAATATATATTTAAATTTCATTCGGTAATGTTTTGGATCACTGAATTTCTTCGTCGTTTGAATGAATGAATAAATGTTTCTGATTTTTCATCATCATCATCGATAATTATATAATTTGCATATTTGAATACTGTAGAACCAAATGTAAACAAATCCAGATTAACTAAAAAGTTTTGTTTAATTTTTATTTACTTTGAAAAAAAGGAAAATTCCTGTATAAATAGATGATGCGTGTGGGTGTAATGTTCATCGGAAATGAAAAAAATGTTTCATTACATGTTCATTATCATTATGGATCGACTATTTTTACTTTAACCATCTCAAAGGATTCAAAATTGTCGAATAACACACACACAACACACACATTGTATTGATTTAGTTTCCGGTAAGAATTTCTGGAAAATATTCCCGAAAAAACAATGATGATGATCATTATCATTATTAGTTAGAGAATATTTCCAAATAAAACAAAAAAGAAATTAACACACCTGTATCCGGTTATAGAATGAATAAAACAAATTACCGGTTTATTTCAACAACAACATATACCTATAGGGTAATAAATTAACAAATATGAACGCCTACACTAATAAATCCTTTTTTTGTTTTTTGTTTTTAGGTTTTTCATGTGGGCTTCATTTGGGTCTTAAATGGTTAATATTATCGATTTATATCGTGGTTAATGGCCATCATCATCATTGATAATTTTTTCTTTTCAACGAAATTCAGAAAACAAAAAACAAAAAACAAAACAATTTGTCAATTTGTAAAATATTGTATGGTGGCTATTATTTTTTATTTTTATTTTTTGGCTGTTGTAAATTGGTGTATTGCGTGCTAATCAAACATTTTTTTCTTGGTTATTATTATTCTTAAAGAAGAACCAAAGTCAAATAGAGAATCATAGGCCCAACAAAATTATTTCATCTTGGACGTTAATTCGAGTATGATTCACCTGTGATATGAGTATGTGTAGTATTTTAGGCATTTTTAGTTTAGTGTAGTGTGTTTTATGAAAAAAAACAAAAGAGAAACATCATCAAATTGACCTAAATGATGCAAAATTCTAAGCTCATTTACATATCGACAAACAAACAAACAAGATAAAAAAACCGATGCCGAAAACACAGGCAAAAAGATTGAAAGCTTCAAAGTCTTTTATTTTTCGAAACATAATTTTGGAAAAATTTCCAAAGAAAAATGTAAAATTCTACATCATGAATGATGAGATTGGACTTTTGGTTCACAATTCTCTCTTTCTCGCGTTCTTGGACCAATCTTGTAAGCGCAAGGAAAAAAAAAGATTCAACTCTTCTGGGTACCATTAAACATCACCTTAGTGAAGAAAAAAAATTTTTTTCACTTTAAACTTAAACTTTTGAAAATAAATCCAGAAAATGGCTATGCATATTTTTGTTGTTATCAACAGCAAACCACCATTCATGGATGGTGAATGATTTACAAAAAAAAATGAGTTTTATTTATGAGATTTTTTTTTCGACGAATAAGTAAAAAATATTCTGACTCTCACCAAAAAGTCAGTTGAAAATAACCGGAATCATTTGGTTGAATGAAAAAAAACACGGTAATCATTTTGGAAAAGTGCGAATATTTGAATTCAATTCGAATTGAATTCAAATATTTTCTTTTTCTCTCTCTTTTCGATTCTGGTTAAAAGTTTTGTCTTGTTGGTTTGAATTCTTTTCAACAACAAAACAAACAAATAACAATGGGTAAATGAATGAATGAATGAGAATCACTTTTTTTTTCTTTCACACAACACTTTCTCATTAGTGTTCTTTTTTTCTGTTGTTGTTGTTGTTGTTGTTGGTAAGAAAGAATTCGGTTCAACGAGTGTGTGTGTGTGTGTGTGTGTGTGGTTGAAGAATATTCTCGAGAATTTCATTTTTGGAAATAAAAAAAAATTGATGTTTTTTTTTTGTTGGTTTGATCCGGAAAATAAAAAAAAAGCAAAAGAGAGGGAAAAAACCAATAAAAACAAATTCGGAAAAAAAACAGCATAGCCGATCAATGTGAAAAATGGCTAGATTCTCAATCGAATGATGATGATGATATACAAAGAAATCAAATTTGAATGTAGAAATTTTCCTCAATTGACGTATATGGGTGTTTCAATGGTGGGGGAGGGAAAAAAATGTTTTTTCTATCGATGAACCGAATCCGAATGAACCAAAAACCAAACCAAACAGCCAAGCAATGAATATGAAAAAAAAAACGATAATTTTATTCAAATTCAAAATTTTTTCTTCTCTGAGTTTTTATTATGATTTTTTTTATGGATAATGTTCATCGAGAGAGTGAGAGAATGGGGATAATGAATATCGAATCGAGAAAGAATTTTGTTTGAAAAAAAAAGAAATACACAGAATCAAATTCATATTTGCTGCCTGCCTATTTGAATTTATAGATATATTTTTTTCTTCTCTTGACATTTTTTACTTTTTGAAAGGAAAAAATTTCACCACCATCATCATAGCTGCCGCTATTGAAATTCACTACTTTTATTACCAATGATATAAGATGGCCATAAAAATTCAATTTCAAATGCGATAAAGAAATATAAAAGTAGGGAGAGAAAGAAAATTATAATATTTAAAATATTAATAATTTTAATGGGTTGTTGTTGTTGTTGTTGTTGTTGTGTGTTTGCTAACCCAAACAAAACACCCTAAACAAATACGAAATGGTTTTGACTAACTGGGTGAATTACTTACTGAATTACTGAATTACTGAATTCTGAATGGAAATTCTTTTGAACCAAGAATATTCGATTGAATCTTTTGGATCCATAGTGAGTGAAGAAGAAGAAGCAGAAGAGTAAAAAGAAAATCGATTAGGAAATCACATGATGATCGGTTTCAAAAAAGAATTTTTTTTTAATGACCATCATCATTGTGGATCGTTGAAACGTGAAAAAAAACTAAAAGCAATAAAATTCAATAAAATGATGATGATTATGATGGTAACATTGTAACAAGAATATTCTTCAAAAACCAAGAAAAAAAACCTGGTGATAATAAATTAAATATCCACAAAACAAGACTATTTTCATCCATCTAGGTTTTGAAATAATACTTGTTGAATTTTTTTATTTATTGGTTTGATTTCGACTATTTCGACCGAAACAAACACACGCCTTTTCACCTTTTTTTCCAATCCAAAAACAAAATAAAAATCGAATCTTTGAAAATTAAATTCCCAACAACAAAAAGAAAAAAAGACAAAGAAGAATCCAAGTGTTTATGGACCGGAACAAATGGATATAACCATAATCAAAAAAACGAAAATGTAATGATTTAGGCTTATGAAGTAAAGCCCTGGTGTATATGAAAAAGTAATTCACTTTTGTTTGGACATTATCACAACCTATACACACACCGACAGGAATCAAATCTATATTCATCCAACACGTTCATTTCATTGTGCCAAAATATCATAAAATTTTATTATCATCATTAATATCTTGGATTTTTCTCCTTGCCAAACGCCCCGAATAAGACAAAATTTCAACTTTTTATTTTTCTCCACCAATTTTCAGGTTGAAAATTGAAGAGAAAAGAAAAATAAGAGACAAAATGACAAGGTAAAATGTTTCATCGTCATTCTGGAGGTTTCAATTTTCAATTTAACCAAGGAAGAAAAAAACAGAGAGATTCTCATCACAACAACAACAACAAAAGCAACATTGAAAACAATGGAAAATTTCAAAATTTTAAAAATTTAAAATTCATTTTCCGGCCACCAAACACCAAAATTGAACAAAAAATTAAATTCATTTTCATTTAGATGATGATGAAACCGGAGAGTTTCTGTTGTTGTTGTTGTTTGGGTCCGTTTTTGCATAATTTGTTCATCATCATCATCATCATCATCATCGGGCTCGGTGAATAGAATTATAATTCAATTATCATTATGATGATGATGATGATGAGAAACGATATTCCGAACATCAACAACAACAAAATGACGATGAAAACTTTCTGTTGAAAAATTTGATTCAAAAAAATGGATTTTTAATTCTCTTTCAGTTTTTCGGTTCTCTCTGTTCTCGATCATGATGATGATGATGATGATGATGAAATAAATTCATTCGAGATGAAATTTCTTTTAGTTTGAAAAAATTAATTTTGTTTCCATTCTTTCTTCACCATCCATGAAGATATGATGATGATAATCAAATATAATTTACCATCATCATCATCATCATCATAATCATTTTTAAAAGTATTTTTTTACAATAAAAATGTTATTTACAACGCAGGAAAAATGAATGTTAATTAATTTTTCATTTTTTTTTCGGTGAAAAACAAAAGTGGAAAAATTATTTATTATTTTCAGTTTCTTTTTCTGATGTTTCAAACAGCTTTGAATTTCTTGATTGGTGAAAAAAGTCAAATTGAATAAAGATTCAGCAAATGAGAAAAAAACGGTCTGA